ACATTACAATATTCTACAGAATTTTGTGTTCTCTAACTCTCTCAATGCAGCCTTTAACAGTATTGCACTACCTGCACTGAAATTCAACTGAACTGTTTGCCCCTCCTGGAAATTTTACTCAGTAAGGGCTCTAGGGCTACATTTTTACGTTAGTCTAGGAGTTGTCATCATGGTTACAAAGACGAGAGTTGTGCTAGATCTTAACACAAGAGTAAAAGTGATTCATGAACAAGTCATGGAAGCCTCTCATCTGTTCTCTTAAAAAACCCCCCTGGGATATGATGCCAGATCCAGAAGGCTACACAGGCCATGGCCGACTAACATAATAACCCCCACCTCCCAGCTTAAAGGTTACTGTCCATCCTTTAACCTTGCCTTTCTCTCCCCCAACACAAAACCCTGCCTCTGTCCTAGCTTCTTTCCTCCACTCCCACTCCACTGATTTCACATGTAGACTTACTGTGTATATTTCCAACACCAGTCTGCTTGTACCGGTTCTCACGGTCTCTTCGCTTGCAGATTTCCTATATTTTCCCTTCTACCCTGAAGATGGAGGCGATACGTTCCTCCGAAACGTTGGTTAACACCAGAAATACACAATGCCACATCCCAGAAGACTGCTTAAAACTAGTGTGTGAGAGGGCTGGGGGGGGAAGGAAATTTTGAAGAGGTTGGAAAATAGTGCTAACGGAAAAATAAAAGAGAACTTAAGAAAACTGCAAACAAAGACGTTAATGAAATACCGTGGGAGTAGCTGGTGTCAGGGTGAAAAATCACCATGAGTCGGGTTCTATGGTACAGGAATATGTTACGAGGTCGGTGAAAAACTGGGGAAGACGGAATTCAAACCATCTAACGGGATGGCTGGAGAGTTTTCGCAAAAGACATAAGATAGTTTTTAATGAACTTTGTGGTGAAAGTGACGTAAATAGTGAGACCAAGGAGTGGGTAGCTAAATTATTGCCATCCATAATCAAGGATATGAACCTGTAAATGAGAATGATCAGCAGGACTTACTTATTAAGATGCTGTCAAAAGTTTAAAGGAACTGCAGGAATTTGCCATACAATGGAATGATTCAGACAAGCTTAGTCTAATTTCTCAAGCTAAATTGATTGAGAGTCAGGCAGCCAAGACAGTACTGCACGCAAAAACTCTGCCTGAGTTTTAAAATTATAAAAAGTGAGTACTGCAATTTTTTTCTGTTCAGTGTAATGCTTGCATGTGTTCAATGATTATAATGTGAACAAATTAATTACTACAGCATTTTATTTCGCCTCAAATATGTGCATGCCCTGGTATAATCATTACAGTAGACCTACACTAAAGGCAAACCTGGCTTCAGCAGAAAAATGTTTTGGACCCTTGACATTCCGTTTTAGAGATATTTCACTATATTTACTTTCAAAAAGCATTGCTAAGGAATGGGGAGGCATAATGTCCTTGAAACATGCACCACTGAGTCAAAATCACCTATTAAATTGTGGCTGGACACAAATTCTATCCCTCTCTAAAAAAACATGAACATGATGTATTTCAAAAGCTGTTAAACAGTATGCTGGCCACCAAAGCACATGTAACCAATATACCATCCATGCAATACACATCACTGCAAAAAAACAAAGTACAAGCAAGAACACAGGCAGAACATTTAAATTCTTTTTATATTATTTCACACATTACATTACTTAAAAAAAACTCGTTTTTAAAATATTACATTACTTAAAATACTGAGGACCGGTCGCATGATATCATGATTTTAGGACAGGTTAGGTTGTAACACACTATACCTTTCCCTGGCGCCACCAAAATGAATGACTACTGCATAATATTAATCTGGAATGTTTGCTTAGTAGGCAGCAACTTGACCTCGCTGTTTTGGTTCCTCCTCCAAAGGAAAATGACCCTTGACCCTTCAAGCTGTTATGTACCATACAAGAAGTTAGTGCAATATGAATCAAGGACAGAAGCAGTTGAAGACGAAGTGATCTCTTGGAGAACAAGAAATATCTGACTTGTTCTCCAATGTGCTATCTGACGTTCCTTCTGAGTAGTAGCAGTGAAAGTGACTCGAACAGTGCAGTGACAGGGGACAACAAATGTGGTCACAGAAAATAAAAGTGAAAGCAGCTCCGACAAAAGTGCAGGTAGTAAAATTGCGCTGACAGCCACATGGGGAAAAGTAGACAAAATGCCTACTTTGGGACAGTTTACTGGAAATCCAGAGGTGAAACAAATTCCATCGGACCCAACACAAATGTCTGAAGTAGCAGAACTGTTTTTGGAGACAGGGATACTCGTGTTGTGAATATGATTTCCACAATTCACAATTCGAGCATGCTTGATGTTCAAAGGAGACATGGACAAATAAAGAAGCCTATTTGTATTTCTGAGTATAATATGTTCATGGAGTTGATAGAGCCAATCAATACTTGGCCTATTGTTCTCTTCCTTGGAAAACAGTAAAGTGGACGAAGAAAGTTGCCTCGTGGCTCATAAATTGTGCCATTTTCAATTCATTTTTGGTTTACAAGAATCTAAACCCTGATTCAAAATTGAAATACAAAGCATTTCTGATGAATGTGGCAAAGGCCTCGGCTACAGACAACATGGTGGCGGCACAACAAGAGTCAGAGACAGACTTAGTGCGACTGGGCCCATCAACTCCCACCCAACGCAGGCCTCTTGTGGACCCCCCTGGGCGACTCTCGGGTGATATGCGGAAACAAACCCCCATGAAAATTGTGAAGAGGGAACATTGGAAGGAAAAGCATCCTTCTAGGCAATGCCGTGTTTGTGCAATTCACAGAAAAAGGAGTATGACTGCCTACATTTGCAAGCTCTGTGTAATGCCACTTCACAAAGGGGAATGTTTCCAGAAATATCACACTCTCAAGCGCTTCTAGCATTGGTAACTGTTCTCCAAAAAATTTAGTTCATAAAATTAATTAGATTTTATATTAATTCTTAAAGTGAACAGTGCACAAGTTAGGGTACTGGGTTTAAAAATGGCGGTCCCCAGGGTGATTTAAATATTTAAATTGCTGGTCCTCAATGTGTTAAAAACATTTTTTTCAAATAAACTTCTGGACATACACCCCTCAAGGGTTGTATAGTTTTATAGTACAGTATAACAATTTATGCAAATCATCATGTAATATGCAGACCAATTGACAAAAGCTGTATAAATAGATGACAGTACAACAGCCCTTGCTATGAAACAGCTCTGTGGACACATTAAGGAAGAAATTTTCTGTGCGGTTCGTGCTAGGATGACTGTTGGTGAGAGCCAGCAGCAATTGCAAATGACAGACCTGTCTTTTCTTCAGAGTGGGCGCCCCACATAAACAACCCCACAACTGACAGTAACAAAAACATGAACTTGGGCCCCCAGATGCTGTGTTACACCAAGACGGAGTAAGGGGAAGCCACTACCACGCTACAGCTGGTGAACAGAAAACTTTATGTGTGCTGCAGTACAATGATTTGTAGCGAGCGTAGATCCGTGAAACTGATAGATGCCTGTAAATACAAGTTTTCAATAAACCCAATTAGCAATCCAAATCCTGTGTCTAGTCATTAAATATGTGAAAATATTGATCTGTGTAACTGATATGCCTGTAAATACAAGTTTTCAATAAACCCAATTAGCAATCCAAATCCTGTGTCTAGTCATTAAATATGTGAAAATATTGATCTGTGTAACTGATATGCCTGTAAATACAAGTTTTCAATAAACCCAATTAGCAATCCAAATCCTGTGTCTAGTCACTAAATATGTGAAAATATGTACCTGATGGTGGCCATGTGCACGTAAAACATGAATTTTTATGAAAGTAAGTGCTGATTTGACTACAATCTGTTCAAGTTGCACTGAAGACTATTGCATATATACTGAAGCAGTAAACTCAAAGGCAATGTCGTTAAACAGTTTTCAGATGACAGAATCACTAGAAATTAAAAATTAACAATCCCAAATCTCATCAGATGGTGTGATAAATGGATGGCTGGCGTGATCTAATTGATGAGTCAATGTGTTGTATGGGGAGATGGATGAAAATAAAGCTGGTAAATGATGGTAAAAAAAAAAAAAGCGGACAGAAATATTGAAAAAAAAATCAGTACTTATGGCCACAAAAGTTACTGGAGGTATGTGTTGCATCTGCTGGCCACAGCTTCTTAAAGAAAAATCATATTTGGCTGCTATCCAACCTTCAAATTCTCATGCCACAGTAGATGTGCTGAAGTAGTTGCACAGCCAAGCCCCTTCACCCATGCATGTTCCACCACTTTCCACACAATTCTCTACCCTCCTTTTCCCCTCAACTCTCATCAACAAGCATACAATTCACATTAAAAAGGGTGCCATTAACTGTTAAATGGACCAAATTAGTTTTTTCTCTCTTACTGCTCTCACCTTGAAGCATAGGCCTGATTTCTGTTTCATGATCATTTTACAGATCAGCTCATTGCAAGGTCACTCCCTAAACACAGGACAACACAAACAGAATGAACGCATACACGCACCAAACATCCACACCCTTGTGCGGGATTCAAATCCACGATCTCGGCTTCTGAGCAAGCGAAGACAGTATATGCCCTAAGACCGCTCAGCTACTGTGACCGGCCTTGAATTAGATGATCACATGAAACTGAATTTTTCTAACTTGCATTTAACAAAGAAAGCCTGTGCCTATCACTACCACTTGGCAGTCCTATCTGTAACTTGTACACAAGGTCAGAATAGATTGACTTGCCTTATAGTTCTACACAGATACTCATTACAAATTTATTCTAAGCAAGATATTAACAGCACAAAATTTATATGCCTGAAGATGTGAAAAAGATTTTGAAGATTTCCAGTACAATATGAGTGCACAAACCTTCTAAAAAGTAAAAAGAAAATACTTGTTGACTTAATCCATGAAGCGCAAATTATTGTGAATCCATTATGTGCATGCACACAATCAGCAATAAGAACGACATTAATCAGTACTCACCATTCGGCCAGGTCCAAGACCCTGTACTCGCACACGTACTGTTTTGTATCCAAACTCCAGGGCTTTCTAAAAAGAACAAAGCCACTTTAGTTAGAGAAAATGGAAGTGTGGGTATAACAGGAAATGAATTGTAACAATATGCACTCTGTTAGCACCACTTATTTGATCTGTATGATGATGATATAGAGTGCACACAACTTAACGCACTAACAAACCCTATGAAGCTGAACCAAAATTCATGAGCAGTAGCATCCCACACTAATGACATACTACCATTTTCAGGGTTAAGTGAAACTATGAGTAAATTCATATAAAGTAATGTGTTATGGGTGGCCGGTGGGACTGAAATTAAACAGGACACAACAGCTGTTGGCCTATGTCGATGTGAATGTACTGGGTGATAATGTGGATATCATGAAGAAAAACACACATACTTTAATTGACGCAAGTAAACAGGTTGGCTTAGAAGTAAACACAGAGAAAACTAAGAATATGTTGAAGAAAGCAGTCTTCTGGGATTTGGCACCATGTATATGTGGTGTTAACCGACGTTTCGAAGGAACGTATCGCCTCCATCTTCAGGGTAGAAGGAAAAATATAAGAAATCCGCAAGCGAAGAGACCGTGAGAACCGGTAAAAGCAGACTGCTGTTGGAAATATATACAGCTATGTGAGCAGTGAAGGATGGGGGGAAGGGCAGGTATACAAGTGAAATCAGTAGTGCTGAGGGGGGGGAGCTGGGACAAGCAGGGTTTTGTGTTGGGGGAGAGAAAGGCAAGGTTAAAGCCTGGGCACTAACCCTTAAGCTGGGTGGGGGGGGGCATGCTAGTCGGTCATGGCCTGTGTAGCCTTCTGGATCTGGCATCATATCCGGGGGGGTTAAGAGAACAGATGAAAGGCTTCCATGACTTGCTGAGACAAAAACCCCCTTCTCTGTTCATATTTTTGGGATGGAGTTCAATCTCAATGGCTTCCCTAATGATGCGATCCATATAGCGGGTCTTGGTGGCGAGGATGGAGGTATTCTGAAGCTGAATACGGTGTCCCAGATCGATGCCATGTTCAGCTACGGCTGACTTGTCCAGATGTTCGAGACGGATGTGCCGCTGATGCTCCTTCAACCTCATGTCCATGGAGCGGCCTGTCTGCCCAATATAGACCTTGCTGCACTCGCATAGGATACTGCATACACCCGGTGTCCTTAAGCCCAGGCTACATTTAACCAGCCAGGGGAAATTGGATACTTTGTTTGGAGGCAAACCCACTGCTTTGATGTTGTGCTGGGACAGCACTCTGCTGATACGGTTGAATATGGTCCCGACAGAGAAGGAAGGCGACTGAGCCCGGTTTGTCTTCAGGCCGGCTGATGTTGGGCCGATGGTTGAGAACTCTGTGGATCTGCCGGTTGTTGTATCCATTCTTCTTGAATACATCCCTCAGGAGCACCAACTCCGCATGTAGGCTGTCTTGATCACACAGTGCTCCAGCCCTGTGTACCAATGTGGAAAGTGTAGCTTGCTTGTTGGAAGGGTGGTGGTGGGACGCAGCATTAAGGTAGAGGTTTGCATGGGTGGATTTGCGGTACACTCTATGGCTCAGAGAACCGCTGGGCCTCCTGTAATTATCTATACCGAGGAAGGGGAGGTGGCCTTCAGTTTCAGTTTCCATTGTGAACAGAATGCAATGGTGGATACTATTTAGATGGTTTAGGAAGTCCTTGAGCTTGTCAGGCCCATGTGGCCAGATGACGAAGGTGTCGTCCACGTAGTGGAACCAGCAGCGGGGCTTGTGTGGAGCCAAGTCAAGTGCCCTCTCCTTGAAGTCCTCCATATATAGGATAGAGATGACCGGAGAAAGTGGCGAGCCCATCGCCACACCATCGGTTTGATCATAGCACTGGCCATTGAAGTTGAAGTATGAGGTGGTCAGGATATGGCGGAAGAGTATCAAGATGTCTTCTTTGAAATGTTGTCCTAGCAGATCCATTGTATCCTTTATAGGCATCCTGGTGAAGAGTGATACTACATTGAAACTGACCATTATGTCGTGGGGATCAACATGGAGAGAGTCCAACGTGTGGACAAATTCCATGGAGTTACTTATGTGGCGTGGACCGTTCCCAGTGTATGTGCTTAGTAGGAGAGCCAAGTGTTTGGCCAGGCGATAGGTAGGAGAGCCAATGGTGCTCACAAAGGCCATTAGTGGAATGTCAGGCTTGTGGATTAGCTGTTGGCAGACCTCCTCAGCAATCGGGGACTTTTTTAGGAGAAGAACAGTCTTGCACTCTATGGTATCGGTAGGATCCTTCTTCAACTTCCTGTAGGTCTTATCCTCCAAGAGAGCGACGATCTTTCAGTTGTAGTCACACGTATCCAGTACCACGGCCGCATTACCCTTGTCAGCCGGAAGGACGGTGAGCCCCTCATTGGCTTTTAAGGACCGAAGGGCTCTTCTCTCGGCAACAGTCAGATTGTCCTTTGGTTTGTGGGAGTTCTTCAGAATCCTGACCATCTCATGGTAGCCTCTCATCTGTTCTGTCAACACTTTGCAGACCGGTGGCATGTTTTTATGCCCAGCGCTTTTAAACGTGGTGGACCAGTGGCATATTATTACGACTTTAGGAAATGTTATGTTGAAACACACTATACCTTGCACTTGTGCTAGGCAGACGCATAACTGGTGCGTGATAGACCTCTTGAATTTTTGCTTTGTAGTCAGTAACATGACCACGCTGTTTATGACCCAACTGTTTTCCTTTCTCACTCCAAAAGAAAATGCCTTTGTTCATCTTCCAGCTGCATGCACCAGGCAGGAAGTTACTAGTGCAAATTGGATCAAGGTCGGAAGAGGTTGAGGTCCAAGCGTTTTCCCGGAGAACAGGCAATATCTGACTTGTTCTCCGATGATCTATCTGACGTCCCTTGCGAGTCTGCTAGTGATAGCGACTCACCATCTGATAGTGAGTGTGGCAGGGCTGAAAAAAAATTGTGGCCACAGACAGTGAAAGTGACAGTAGTTCTGACAAAAGTGCGGGTAGCAACATTGCGCGGAGAGCCACATGGGGAAAAGTAGACAGAACACCTGCTTTGGGACAAGGGGTGAAGCAAATTCCATCGGACCCAACACAAGTGTCTGAAGTGGCAGAACTGTTTTTAGGAGATAGGGATGCTCGTGTTGTGAATATGATTTCCACAATTTACAATTCGAGCATGGCTGATGTTCAAAGGAGACATGGACAAGTAAAGAAGCCTATTTGTATTTCTGAATATAATATGTTCATGAAGGGAATTGATAGAGCTGATCAATACTTGGCCTATTATTCTCTTCCTAGGAAAATAATAAATTGGACAAAGAAAGTTGCCTTGTGGCTTATAAATTGTGCCATTTTCAATTCATTTTTGGTTTTAAAAAATCTAAACCCTCATTCAAAATTGAAATACAAGGCATTTCTGCTGAATGTAGCAAAAGCCTGGGCTACAGACCTCAAGGTGGCAGCAGAACCAGCGGCAGACACAGTCTTAGTACGACCGGAGCCGTCTACTCCCAACCCATGCAGGCCTCATTCTGACCCCCCTGGGCGACTCTCGGGTGATATACGGAAACATACCCTCGTGAAAATTGTGAAGAGTGAACATGCCAAGGGGAAGCAGCCTTCTAGGCGATGCCGTGTTTACACAGTACACAACAAAAGGAGTACGACTGTCTACGTGTGCAAATTCTGTGTAATGCCACTTCACAAAGGGGAATGTTTCCAGAAATATCATACTCTCAAGCACTTCTAGGAGCATTGGTAAGTGTTCTCCAAAAATTTTAGTTCATAAAATTAATTAGGAGATTTTATATTAATTTTCAGAGTAAACAGTGCACAAGTTAGTGTAGTAGGTTTAAAAATGCCCGTCCCCAGGGTGATTTAAATTGCCGGTCCGCAAAGTGTTAAAAATCCCCCCGGGGTATGATG